CAAAGAACTATAGGCTGACCTGAAGCATACTTTTTTGGTTTGGCCAAATGAAACTTCTCATACTACCTTAGCTGTGAATATTATTCCTCCATCTAAATGACTCTACAAAAATATGGTAAGTTACAAAAAGAAATTTTTATAGCAGTGAAGTATACCCCATAACAAAATTCCACCAAACTAACAATCTATCATTTGAAAGGCAGTAGGTGATTTCTGCCTGGTAAAGAAAAACAGAATTCAACCTTCACTGCCTACACAGCTCCCAAGTCTGAGTGTTCTTTGATATTCCCCCAACCCCGAATACACCTACCGTCCCAGCCAGGATATCATGAGGGCAGCAGTCCAGAAGGTGACTCTTGCAGACACGGTCATCTGTAAACTTGACCCTCTGTCTGGTTTCGTCTCCTGAAATTCATTTGTGGTTTTAAATAAGACAATATTATCACGTTAAACACCAAAGCATATCTGGTACGACAATTCACCTGGATGATTGGCAGACTACCAAATACAATGAAAAGCTGATCTAGAGATATTTACAACTGGAGCGGAATACGGATGTTTTTTGATGCTAAATGTATTATGAAGAATCACACTTAATGAGATCTGACTCCATCATTGTGCCAAAGAAGTCAAGGAATCTGAAGAGGCTGAGCACCAAAAGGCCATTAACCCCACACATATATGTGGGCAGTAATACCAAAACCCATGCTAATCAGAGGGCCATGAAATCACCACGTATGACTTATAGCTGGTAGTTTCCACCAACAGAAGCTACATATTAATCTAATCATTTTGCTATGGACAAATGCATAGGCAGTATTTTGCCCAAAATCACATGAAGAAGAAAGCTTTCAAACTCTACCACTGACTGATAAATAATCTAGACCTCATCTTCCTATCCCCTTCACCCCCACCCTTAAAAAAGAAAGTTGGCACCTGGGAGTCACTTTTAACAAGACAATACCAAAGGAGGAAAAAAAAAGGGGGAACTAGGTTAGTCAATACACACTGTGAGTTCCAACACATACTGTACCCATCTGCATTCTTCAAGACCTCAGCTGCAGAATTTTATGCCCGCTGTTGAAAAGTTTTAAAGGAAAAGTTTTCTTGCCCAACCTGCAGTAAGGAAGTCAGGGGAATGATACATAAAAGTAAAGGCAAAGTGGAATGTGACAAATTTTAAAGCTAATCTGTGTATACACAGAGCTGTGTAATACTAAAGGAGGAATATATTTTAGGATTTGCAAGCATCCAGGATTAATGTTGTGTCTTTTTATTGAAAATGTTTTCTTTCTAAACTACACTTTTAAAGTTATTTGTGAAAAAAAGCAAACACTTTTTTGTTATAACAGCTTAGAAATTGGTTGTGACTCACGGCTCGATGAACATGAGGCTTTTCTGCAACTCCCTTGCAGATTGATGTAGGCAGGCAAAGATACACTGAACCTTTATAAATAAAATAGAGGGGCCACAATTGTTCAGTTTGTATGAAATAAAAATATGGGAAGCAATTCAAAAGCAACTCAATATACAAAAGCACTTATTCACCTATGAAATAAAGTGCAAAGAATCTGCACAGCCCTGCGAATGTGCCAATGTGAACTTACAACTTCATTACTTCAGTAGAAAAGAAAACACAAACCACAGCAGGTATATAGTTTTGCAAAGGTGCAACCGCTTTCTCCTGAGACAACCATCATGATGATCTTTCACTCCTCCCTACAAACGTCATTGTACGACCTACCTAACGACTGCCAAGTGCTAGCTAAACAGAGGCTCTCCTGTGTGGCTGGGAGGGGAAGGGGGCTGGAAAGGCACTCGGCAGGAACCCACGTTAGAAAAGCTCAATTTACGGCTGCTCTTGGTGCAGAACAGGAACGGCCGGGGTTTCCGGGCCCATCCGGCTCCCTCGGGTTGTAGGTAGCTCCTTCCCCGAGGAGCCTCGGAGGAGCTCCGCCACCCGGCTGCCAGCGATGTGGAGCCCACGCTGGCGCCAGCCCTTCGCCGACTCCCCGGCTCCCCGAGCGGCTCCGGGCCGCGGGACGGGGAGAAAGTCGCAGGACGGCAAAGGGGGAGGGGGCTAAAGCCCCACCGACGACTCGGGCTCCGAAGGAGGAGCCCGCCGGGGACCCACCGCCAGCGAGGGAGAACCCGGCCGCGGCCTCTCCCAAGGCGAACCGGCTCAGACAAAGGCCCGGCGCCTGCGGTCGGCGCGCGGGGGAGGGGACGGTGTCCGGCGCAGGCGCAGACGGTCGCGGCCCCCGCCTCAGGCCGCCCGGCGGCCTCGCCTCACTCCCGCCCCAACCCCTCGCCTGTCCGGCCGCTCCGACTCACCGTCCCGGGCCGTGCCCATGAGCTGGTCCAACAGGGCCCGCATCTGCGCCTGGGCGGACATGGTGGCCGGCGAGGGCGGCAGGGACGGCCGCGGTGACTCCTCTCAGAGCGGTGGCGGCGGCGGCGGCGGCGGCGACGAAGGCTGGTCGCGTCGGCCTCGAGCCCGCTCGGCTCCTTCCCGCCGCGGGGGACGCCGGGAGGAAGTGCGTCGGTGCGGTCCTTGAGCCTGCTGGGAAATGTAGTTTCTGGGGCGGAATAGGGACCGAAACTCCGCCCTGGAGGAGACGGGCAGGAGTGGTCCAAGCGAGTTGTGCGAACGGCGGAAACAGAAAAGTCCCAACCCTGAATTTATTCTAGAGCCCGAGCCAGAAGACTCCCAACCCCGATTTTATTCTAAAGCCCAAGACCCATATATTCTGGAGACTAAACTGCAACAAAATAAAATAAATAGGGGCGCCTGGGTGGCTCCGTTGGTGAAGCATCTCCCTTCGCCTCAGGTCATGATCCCAGGGTCCTGGAATCGAGCTCCGCATTTGGGCTACCCGCTCAACCGGGAGTCAGCTTCTCCCTCTGCCCCTCCCCTCACTCGTGTGCGCTCTCTCTCTCTCTCTCAAAAATAAATAAAATCTTTTAAAGAAAGATTCTCCCTCTCCCTTTGCGCCTGCTCTCAAAAAAAAAAAAAAAAAAGTATCTGGTCTGTTCTCCAAAGTGACTTACAGATTAAATCCAATTCTATTAAAAACAGCTATGGGTCTGGGGGCGCCTGGGTGGCTCAGTCCTTAAGCGTCTGCCTTCGGCTCAGGTCATGATCCCAGGGTCCTGGGATCGGCCCCAAATCGGGCTCCCTGCTCAGCAGGAGGCCTGCTTCTCCCTCTCCCACTCCCCCTGCTTGTGTTCCCTCGTTCTCTGTCAAATAAATAAAACAAATCAATAAAAATAAAAAATAAAAACGCCTATGGGTTTGTTTTGGTGAAACTTGGTCTGGTTGTAAAATTTTACTGAAGAATAAATGGTTAAAGCTTTTCAACATAACAAAAAGGTGGAGGTAGCTGTCCAACTAAACATCACAGAGTTATTTTAAGGATATTGTAATTGAGACTGTGTGGTACCAGCACAAAAATGGAGAGCAATGAAACAATGACAGAGAATAAAGATGCCAGAGAGAAGCTGTAGGGAAATCCCCTCAATTTCCCAGTGCTCCTGTGAAAAGCCTTCGTCTTAGACCCTTCACCTACTATGAGCATTAGATCTGCAGCCATTTATTTGTCCAGTTAATTGCTCTGGTCCGGAAGTATAACTTCCCTTTTCTAAGAGAGCCAAGTAGTTATAGACTTGGATTAGGTGCCTAGGTATTGGGGAGAATAGAGTGTTCTCTTCCCACGTATTTACACTTCAGGGAGTGAGGCCCAGGAATTTGGAGACATCTCTAGGTCCTAAAAGTGTAGCCAAGAGACACTGGGGCAGTCTGGCCCCAGGAGAAACTCATTAACATACCAAAGGACTGGAGTGGGGAGACCCTCTGAAGAGGGGAGAAGGACAGCTGCCTCTTCCCCTTTATAAGTAGAGAAAAGTCCCTTTTCATTCCTCACGTATGTTCTGTTGGGCCACTCACGTCGGAAAAATTTCCATTGGTTCTCTCTGTGTTTCCCTGGGGGGTAAAGGCTGTGGGGGACTCATCATGCTTATTATTACTAGGGAGTCGTAAGATATCTGATCTGATCCAGAACAGCCGGTGTGAGCATTATGATAAAGCCAATTAATAAAGACACTCGTGCATATCCAGATTTTTTTAAGTGTGGCAGATGCCCTTGGGGAAAGGACACTACCTCAATAAATGGCACTAGCACTGCAGGTTATCCCCCTGATGAAAAGCACGTAGCCTCCTTACACCGCCCTAAATCTATTCCAAAACCAATTAAAAACAATGTTAAAATGGAAACTTTAAAACCATTGGGGAAAATGTGGGAGACTTATTAGGGGTAGAGAAGGATTCCTCAAACAGGGCACAAAATGACTACCCGTAAAAGACTGATTTATTTTTCTATACTAAAACGGAGACTTGCGTTCGTCAAAAGCACCCCGAACGGCAATATTTACCGCACACACCACGGGTAAAGACGGTACCCTGAGCAGAGCGCAACGCAACAAGCGGAGAGAGGCAAACCACGCCACAGAAAGACCGACCCGCGGCCAGAAGCCGGCGCTGGAGGGGAAAGGCCACGGCCAGCAAACCGCGTGGAAGGGTGCGCCAGCCCGGGGAAGCGCAATAAAGCCGCATGAGGTGCCACCTCAAAAGGCCGCGGCGCCAGACCCCCACGCGAGCCGGCGCGGCGCGCGACCCCAGACCCGCCGCTTCCGCCGGGGCCGCCGCCCCGCCAACCGCACTGCTCAGCAACCACCTCCCGCCTCGAGGACCCCTGCTCGGTCGTCGCGCTTCCGCCTCGGCTCCGGCCGGCCGGAAGTGACGCTCGGGAACGGGGCCGAGGAGCGCGGCGGCGGCCGGAGAGTGAGCGCGGCCTCGTCGTCCTCGCGCGTGCTCGCGGCGGGGCTCGCGCGGGGCCCCACCTCTTCGCTCGCGATCGCTCCTCTCCGCCTGGGCGATCCCGCCGCGGGGAGACTGCCAGCCAGCGAGACCCCGCCCACGGTGTCGCCCGCCTCGCCCAGCGGCGGGTCCACGCGTGTCCGTGCAGCGGTGTGGGCGGACAGGCTGCCGCAGCGGCCGCGACCAGCCCGCTCCGCCGGCCCTCCAGCCCCAGCGGGTCGGCAGGTGCGATTCCTGGTGGCGGTCGGCGCCAGCCCCAGCTGCCCCAAAGACCGGATTTACTCCGGGGAGGAAACTTCCTGCCCCACGTCGGCGGCACAGTAGGTAAGCCAGTCTCTCTACTCTCGGTGCTCTTGAGGGTGCTGCACCGCTTGTCCGCGGGCGATGTAAAATGTAGGACTACGGAAGCCGATGTGCAGAGACGGCCTCCGTCCTCTCGTCTGTGGTCCGGACAGTGAACTCGCAAAGTACCCCAAAGGTCAACTGACGTTTACTCGTGTATGGGGGACATCGCTCGTACAGACGTAGCCTGCCTTACTGAACAAGACAGGCAGACTTCGAAAGGGAAAAAGGCAAGGTCGCTCTCAGAGAGTTCCTTGCTCCCCTACAAATTGATTGGCAGTGATCTGAGAGCCTGACCTTGAGCAGCCCAAGCTATCAGAGGAGGCAACTGCAGTTACTTTCGGGTTCTCTTTGGAAACCGTGGGATTTCAGCTAAGGAGCTTGTGTGATAGGCAGGACTCCAGGTACCGGCTGGGAATGTCTTTCTGGTGCTGCCACCAGATTGCACCACCTCCTTGCAATTTCTCAGGGAGCAGGCAGTGTCTGCTGGGTGCCAGGCATGGTTCTAGGTGCTGAGACTGTAGCACTCAACAAAACAGGATTCCTGTCCTCAAGGAGCTCCATTTCTGTGGAAGGATACGGATAATAAGCAAAATACAGAGCATGCGGGGCGCACCTGGGTGGCTCAGTCCATTCCACGTCTGCCTTGGGCTCAGGTCATGATCTCAGGGTCCTGGGATCGAGCCCCACATCAGGCTCCCTGCTCCGCGGGGAGCCTACTTCTCCCTCTCCTGTCCCCCTGCTTGTGTTCTCTCTCTGTCAAATAAATAAATCTTTAAATATGTGTATATAGAGAGAGAGAAAGAGCACGCTAAAGACAAAGTACAGAGCAAGGAAGGATGAGATGGAAATGGTCCAAGTATCAAGTGGACATTTATTTGCACATTTTACCAGCTCTCTGGACCTTGTTGCACTTATTGGAGTGCTTTTGGTTTCAAGTGTTGAAAATCCATTAAAACTAGCTCAGCCTATGGGGGGATTCTACACGCTTTCATATGGGAAAGTTCAGAGGACCAAGAATAGGAGGGGCCAATGGCTTAAATTAGGTCATCAGGACTTGGTAATGGTGTGTGGGGGAGGTCTTGTTGGTCCCCCATCCTTTCACATACCTCCTCTTTGCCCTGTTTCTGTGTTGGCTTTTTTCTTAGGTTCCTGCCTCCATCCTACCTACTTTTTTAGTTATTTGCTGCCGCATAAAAGTCAACACAAAAATTAATGGATTGGAGCCCCTGGGTGGCTCAGTCGGTTAAGCCTCTGCCTTCGGCTCAGGTCATGATCCTGGGGTCGTGGGATCGAGTCCTGCATTGGGCACCTTGCTCAGCAGGAAGCCTGCCTCTCCCTCTGCTTGCCGCTCTCCCTTGCTAATGCTCTCTTTCTTGACAAATAAATAAAATCTTAAGGGGCGCCTGGGTGGCTCAGTTGGTTAAGCGACTGCCTTCGGCTCAGGTCATGATCCTGGAGTCCCGGGATCGAGTCCCACATCGGGCCCCCTGCTCAGCGGGGAGTCTGCTTCTCCCTCTGACCCTCTTCCCTCTCGTGCTCTCTATCTTTCATTCTCTCTCTCTCAAATAAATAAATAAAATCTTTAAGAAAAAATTTTAAAAAAAGTAATGGATAAAACATCCTACATTTATTATTTATTTATTTGTTTTTTAGAGGTGGGAAGGGGCAAAGGGCGAGAGAGAGAGAGAGAGAGAGAGTCCCAAGCAGGCTCTACACCCAGCATGGAGCCCAACACAGGGCTTGATCTCACAACCCTGAGATTATGACCTGAGCCAAAATCAAGCGTCGGATGCTTAACCAACTGAGTCACCCAGGTGCCCCAAACATTTATTATTTCCATTTCTGTCCGTCAGGATTCAGGAATAGTTTAGTGAGGTGATTGTGGTTCAGAGACTCATCTGGTTGCAACCAAATCATTGACTGGAGCTGTGGTCATCTGAAGCCTGGACCAGGACTCTTGGGTCTGATTCTAGATGACCCACTCACATGGCCAAAGACTGGAGGCCTCAGTTCTTTGCTAACTGTTGGCAGGAGTCCTTATTTCTTTGCCTGATGGGCCTTTCCATAGGGCCTGCGTCCTCACGTGGTGGTGGTCTTCCCTCAGAGTCAGTGATCGGGCGGGGGGGGGGGGGGGGGGGGATGGAAGCCACAGTGCTTTATGTGGCCTAGCTCAGGAATTCTGATTCTGTGACTTCTGCCATATTCTATATGTCAGCATTATTAAGTACAAAAGACTTCACCTTTGAAGGGAGGCACATCAAAGAGTTTGTGAACATATTTTAAAACCACCGTTCCACTTATCACTCCTGTGGGAAAAGAGTGCCTGTTCCCTATAATTGCAGGTGAACTCTGGGCCTGATATTCATCTGGGCTCTAATCAGTTAGCTAGACCCGGGTAGGGAGCCCTCCCCAAAGTGGGGATGAGTCAGTCCCACCAGAACTGCATTGAGCATGCGGGAAAGTAGATTTCCCCGAGGGAAATTAAGGTGCTGTTACTAGAAAGAATGGATGTCAGGTAGTCAAAGTGACCCCTACAAGTGACTTATACCATTATTTAAAATCAGGTTTTAAAAGTCAACTCCTTGGGCAAGCTGTAGATTTCAAAGCAATGGTTAATAAATCCATTAATAATTACCCTTCCAAGAAAAGAACATGAGCAGAGCAGAGCAAGATTTGGATATTTATTCAGACATGTGAACGTGTTTATTTTATGCCAGGCACTATGCTTTGTCCTGGGCAAACAAGGGCGATAAAAACAAGTGTAGGCCCTCAGGCCCCTCGCGGTCTGGGGGTAGGTCTCACCAGTGGCTCAGTGAGGACTCAGCAGTGCGCATGGCGAGGTCAGGTAGAGCGGGCTTTGAAGGCACATGGGGGTTACTAGAGGAAGAAGGGTAGAGGAACGGTGTGCACAGAAGATCAGCAGTGTGACTGGAGAACAGATCCTGGACATAGGATTTGGAGAGAGGTAACACCAGAGGTGGTGGACTGAAGAGCTGTCCTAGCTTTGTTCTAAAGTCCTGAGGAGTCATTCAGGAGTTCAAAGCAGGGGAATGGCATTTTCAGGAGATATTTTAGAAGGACGTCTCTTGCAGCATCGAGGAAAGAAAGTTGGAGAGGGCTCCAGAAACCCAGGTGAGAAGTTGTCAGAACAGCACCTAAAGCAGTGGAACTGAATTGCAGACAGACATACGTTGGCATCCATCGGGTTTGTTGGATGTTTCAAAACCTACTCTAGGGCGCCTGGGTGGCTCAGTTGGTTAAGCGACTGCCTTCGGCTCAGGTCATGATCCTGGAGTCCCGGGATCGAGTCCCACATCGGGCTCCCTGCTCGGCAGGGAGTCTGCTTCTTCCTCTGACCCTCCCCCCTCTCATGTGCGCTCTCTCTCTCATTCTCTCTCTCAAATAAATAAATAAAAATCTTTTAAAAAAAAAACCCTACTCTAATCTCACTCAAAACTGGTCTTTATAAACTTAATGAATTTCGTTCGCACTCTTCCTTTATAAAATTTATAATGGAGCTTAGCTTGTTTGGATGTAATGTCAAAAAAAAGGAAGAAGGAGAGTGCTGATTCCTAAGTGAACACCAGCAGAGACAAGGCAGATCCAGCCACAGGCCTCTCAAGTGTACAGTTCAGAAAGATCGGAGGTGGGCTGTAGGGGACAAGTGCTCCATCCGCCATGTGTTGGTAACCGTTGGACCTGGCTGATGGGCACATGGGGCTGTGGGGTTCTACTCTTACAAATATGTTTTATTTTCTTATTGTTTTGGTGGGCAGCAAAGCAAGGTAAGCTCCCGAGGAGGGAGGGGATCCGAGAGGGTTGCCCTGCTCTTATGAATATTCAAACATTGACGTGACAAAAAGTTTTAAAAAAATAATGATAAAAAGTAAGTGAAGTTAAGACCTACTGGTCTTGCAGAGTTGGTCAGAAGTGATGGAGTAAGAGTTAGGCTTTATCTTTTTAAGGGCTTTTGCTTCCCCCCCACACACACACACCCTTCCCTTAGTGTAAAGACAAGAAGTGGGGCACCTGGGTGGCTCAGTCGTGGAGCATCCGCCTTCGGATCAGGTCATGATCCCAGGGTCCTGGGATCGAGCTCCCTGCTCAGTGGGAAGCCTGCTTCTCCCTCTCCCACTCCCCCTGCATGTGTTCCTTCTCTTGCTGTATCTCTCTCTGTCAAATAAATAAAATAAAATCTTTAAAAAAAAAAGACAAGAAGTAACACCAGTGTAGCAGTCAAAGGAGATAAAATCTGCCTTAGAATTCAGGGAAAAGGCTACTCTGCTATTTTCGGGACAAACTATGAAAGTTATTCTGTGTAATAGTTACCTGTCCAAAGCGCAGATGGATGTTGATCGTTGACACTTGGGAGGTACCGGGAACCATCTCCGGTCAGGTTGGTGAGCGCTGACCGCGCGTGCTCTGATGTGCTTGTCTTTATCCAGCAACCAGGACCTTCAAATTTGTTCTCGTTTGAAAGATGATGTAGGGCCTGTTCTTTGTCTTCAGATGATTTTCTTGGTGAAGAGAGGAAATAGTTGTTCATCTGTAAACAACAGAACACTATAGATGTCATTGTCTGGCTTCCACTTTGCTCTGCCAAAAATTCAGTGCTGCCTACTGGGATACTGTGGGTGCCTCTCAGATACCCCATGTTGAACCGCTGTCAGAATACTTGGGCTGCTCCTGGCCTCCTTGTGTAGGAGACGTTCTTAAACCGCTTGTATGCATAACAACCAGCTTAGCAATTAGCGATCACAGACCCTGAAGTCTGCAAAGGTGGCCCCGAAGCACAGAGTGCGATGGTGCGTGGTCTGAAAATTCCCTTAAAAGAATGCTGTAAAATTCCAATTTTAAAAGTTAGCAGGGGATTTCTTATTAAAGTACCCTGCAGTGATCTGAAATCAAATTTTAGTTTAAAAAATTAGACCCCCTACTTCTGTAGAGTTGCCAGTTACTTGTCCTGCCAGTTTTCTTTC